ATTTATCAATCACACACACACACACACACACACACACACACACACACACACACACACACACACACACATGTTTGAATGGGGTTTTAACATAGAGACTGTTATTATGTTACATTCTAGGTATTAGAAGGAAAGCCAATCTATGTAGACTGTTTTGGAAACCTGGTTCCTCTAACAAAAAGTGGCCAGCATCATATCTTCAGCTTCTATGCCTTTAAAGAGAATCGACTGGCTCTTTTTATCAAAGTAAGTCAACTATGAGGCATTTATATATCTGATGAATTAGAATTGGATCCATACAAAGGTTTAACTGCACACTTGGTGAATCTCTTGTAGATACGAGACAACACTCAAGAGCCTTGTGGACGTTTGTCCTTCACAAAAGAGCCGAGATATTATAGGACTTTGACTCATAGTGCAATATGCAATTTAAACATCACCCTGCCAGCTTACTCAAAGGTAAGTTCATGACATATGCTATTACTGACATTACAGAGCTGCAAATTCATTGTCCAGTGAAATTTCATAATTTTTTTTGTGATTGTTGGTTTTGTCAGCTTTTATGGCAGGTTTGCATGCATTATGTTCATTTTGTTGCCGTTATATGAGTGTTTCAGACCACAGTATCTACATAGTTTTATATAAACTTTAACTTGTGAGTAACTTTATCAGACATAGTTGAAGCACCACAAAATTTAATTGGTCTATTACACAACTCATTGTTGTGGTTATTTGGAAGGTCTCGTCATTGGAGCCATCTTTTCCATTTATTTCTTCATTGTATTACCTTATTTAATAGTATTATTATTATAGTGTATTGGGGTTAATAACTGATAAATGCTTTTATGCATTTCTGTTGCGTCTAACCCCTGTCACACCACACCTCACTGGCTGGCCTCAGACATGTTCTGTTGCTGTGATAACTGCTTTGCCTGCTCTCTCTGTCCCCTTCTGTCTTTCTTGTACCTCTGCCCTTTCTATCTTCTGCCGATCTCTTCCTCTTTTGCTGCTTTTTTCTCCTCAAAGGAGTCAGATTCAGATCAAGAACCTGATGAGGAGGTAACTGCAATTTTGCACTTTAGTTAACAAAATGTCCTTTGCTTTCCCCCATTATCTCAGTTCAAAACTCCAGGCTCCACTCTTGCTGGCTTTAATTATTAGTAGTAGTACTAGTAACTCTATTACTTGTGAACAGTAATAGAGAAAATGTTTTGAAACCCTTAGAATCTCATGAATGGCTCCTTAAATGTATTATTTTTTTATTTTTATTTTTTTAGTAGTCATTCATGCATAAATTACAGATCATTCCACAGGGTTTACACACATTTTCTAATAACTATATATTGCTTGCTGTACCAGCTGTCATAGAGGTAATGTCAGCATCCAGACAACTATGGGGTCAAATAGCATGAAAACATAGTAAATTGGCAGTTTTGAGCTACAAATAGGTATATGTCTGTTACTGCATAGCATGTATACAACTGAATCTTCTTCTCCTGTTTTTTTTTTTTTTTTCTCTACAGACAAGCCGGACACTTGAGAAATGTAAGATGTCTAGTTTAATTAAAATACGTTGTCTTGCACCAGACACCTTTCCACTTAACTTACTAACTGAGAATGTCTCTGTAAAATAACTCACAAAGCATGATATTAACATTCTGTAAAATAATTATTTGTCTGAGTGAGTTAACTATTGGCTGTTGTACAAGCCTAATATATACAGTGGGTACGGAAAGTATTCAGACCCCCTTAAATTTTTCACTCTTTGTTATATTGCAGCCATTTGCTAAAATCATTTAAGTTAATTTTTTTTCCTCATTAATGTACACACAGCACCCCATATTGACAGAAAAAAACAGAATTGTTGACATTTTTGCAGATTTATTAAAAAAGAAAAACTGAAATATCACATGGTCCTAAGTATTCAGACCCTTTGCTGTGACACTCATATATTTAACTCAGGTGCTGTCCATTTCTTCTGATCATCCTTGAGATGGTTCTACACCTTCATTTGAGTCCAGCTGTGTTTGATTATACTGATTGGACTTGATTAGGAAAGCCACACACCTGTCTATATAAGACCTTACAGCTCACAGTGCATGTCAGAGCAAATGAGAATCATGAGGTCAAAGGAACTGCCTGAAGAGCTCAGAGACAAAATTCTGGCAAGGCACAGATCTGGCCAAGGTTACAAAAAAATTTCTGCTGCACTTAAGGTTCCTAAGAGCACAGTGGCCTCCATAATCCTTAAATGGAAGACGTTTGGGACGACCAGAACCCTTCCTAGAGCTGGCCATCCGGCCAAACTGAGCTATCGGGGGAGAAGAGCCTTGGTGAGAGAGGTAAAGAACAACCCAAAGATCACTGTGGCTGAGCACCAGAGATGCAGTCGGGAGATGGGAGAAAATTGTAGAAAGTCAACCATCACTGCAGCCCCCCACCAGTCGGGGCTTTAGGGCAGAGTGGCCCGACGGAAGCCTCTCCTCAGTGCAAAACACATGAAAGCCCGCATGGAGTTTACTAAAAAACACCTGAAGGACTCCAAGACGGTGAGAAATAAGATTCTCTGGTCTAATGAGACCAAGATAGAACTTTTTGGCATTAATTCTAAGCGGTATGTGTGGAGAAAAACAGGCACTGCTCATCACCTGTCCAATACAATCCCAACAGTGAAGCATGGTGGTGGCAGCACCATGCTGTGGGGGTGTTTTTCAGCTGCAGGAACAGGACGACTGGTTGCAATCGAGGGAAAGATGAATACGGCCAAGTACAGGGATATCCTGGACAAAAACCTTCTCCAGAGTGCTCAGGAACCTCAGACTGGGCCGAAGGTTTACCTTCAAACAAGACAATGACCCTAAGCACACAGCTAAAACAACGAAGGAGTGGCTTCACAACAACCCTGTGACTGTTCTTGAATGGCCCAGACAGAGCCCTGACTTAAACCCAATTGAGCATCTCTGGAGAGACCTAAAAATGGCTGTCCACCAACGTCTACCATCCAACCTGACAGAACTGGAGAGGCAAATGGCTGCAATATAACAAAGAGTGAAAAATTTAAGGGGGTCTGAATACTTTCCGTACCCACTGTATATAGGCTGTTATATAGTATTATAAAAGCATTATATAGTGGTTCAAGGCATTATATTGTGTTTTTATTTTTTGCGTCACAGATCGGACTATATTTCGGATAAGCAAGAAAAAAAATAGTCCGATC